TGAAGCATCTGGAATATTGTGACTGAGTCATGCAAAGGAGGTCATTCAAGGGAGTCCTTAGAGTCAGGACTGAATCATCAGAAAAAAAAAAAAGAAAAAAGAAAAATCTGGTACAACTGCAGGGGGTGCCAATCTCATGGACAATAGTGAGAATGTGCTCGCAGACTTACGCAACGAGGCTCTCCTGCCAAGAGCACGTCTCATCATGACACTGTACCAGTGTTCTGTGGGACTACCCTGAATCATTTCATTCAGAATTATTTTATTCCGTAACAGCAAGTCCCATGGTTATGGTACCAGCTGAGCTTGTGGGTGCAGTGCAGGGGGACCAGGGCTGGAGGATGTCTGCTTCCATCATGCCAAGACCAAGAACAACTCGGTGTAAGAAAGTAAGAGAAAGATCTTATGTGAATGTATATATATGACAGAAAATCTCTCTGAATGCACTACCAGACAGTGTTCTAAGCAGGTCTCGTGTATCTCATTTATTCTTCAACATCCTCCATTTTATATCTGAAGAGATGGAAGCACAGGGAAATTGAGTAACTGGCATAAACTCACCCAGCCAATAAGAAGGGGACCACACTGAAAATCCAGTTACACTTTAGAACCCTTGCCCTCCACCACTCTAAGTCAGGAACTCTGCCTTCAAAAATTCCTGTCCATCCTCCCAGAATGGAGAAGGGAGGAAAGTATGGGAGGCCCAGGTCACTCTCCCCCTCCACCAGTCAGTGCACTGAGACCTAAAGGAAATGACAGGGTCTCAGCCAGACCCACTGGACCTGTTCTCAGCCTCGAAGAAGGGAATCCCTTCTGTAGCCCCATAACCTGCCACTAGTCCCATATGTTTATCAGGGATCAAACAAGCTATGAGTGTGAGAAGTAAGAGTGTGTGTGTGCCAAAATGTCCAGATGTGCCCTGGAATAGATTAGAGACCAAAGAAGTGGGAGAGGATATGCTCCTCTTAACAATGAGAATTATGATTATAGTGCACATTTATTTATTAGGGACTGTTCCAAATATTTTACACATTTTAACTAATTCAATCCCAATATCAACTCTATGAAAATAGGTACTATTACGATCCCCATTTTGTAGGTAAGGAAACTGGTCGCAGGGAATTAGACAATTTGCCCAAGGCCACTGGCTGTGATAGGCAGGGTTTGAAAGAGTTGAACCCAGGTATCCTGGACGCTTCCTGAAATCCTCAGTCTTCCTCTCCGGCTCATCTGGATCGGCTGCCCCCCACCCCCAGCCCCCATCTCAGTCATCCCAGAGATGCCCCCAGCCTCCCCATCCCAACTCCCTTCCAGCAGCTCAGGGGTATGGGTGCAAGGAATATTCCTTAACAAAGAAACTAACTTAAAAGTAAGAAGAACTTCAGGGTTTTTTAAAATCTCTTTTTCTTGTCTCTCTTGTCCAGGAGATCAAAGGGCATCACGTTGGGAGAACAAACGCTGAAGAAAAAGGCAAATGAAAGAAGAAAAGTTCACACTTTGGGCTGAGAAACAGATGGTGCGGAGGGTTGGGTGGAGTGGAGGCTTGACTGCCCCCCCAGACAGTGGGGGAGGGGTGGGGAGATGCTCCTCAGAAACCTTGACAGACTTGCAACCAGCCCTGAGAAGAATTCTCTCTCCTATGAAGACTCAAGGGGAAAAGATTCTCTTAAGATTTTAATTTTCAACAGGAGAATTTTCTTGAGATAGTCTTGGTAAATGGAAGTGGGGGTGGAGGGTTTTCCAGTTCTGCGGAAAATGCGCTATCAGATCTCCTGGTGAATATAATTCCCCTCCTCCCCCGCCCCTCCACGCTGTGAAAAATCCACCTTTCTAAGAACTGCGGTGGAATCTATGAGTGAAGCAGTTTGGCATTTATCCTGGGAAGTTCAACAATGAACACCATCAACTTAATTCAATAGCAGAAAAATGTGCTTTTGTTTGTTTGTTTTACCATCCTCTCCTTTGTTGGTTATGATAGGAAAATGCACAGTGATCTTTTCTTTCTCCAACTAAATGCCTTCCGTGTAGACCAGTCTGGAGCCTGAGGTTCAAAGTGGGATTTAGGAGAGCACAAAGTGCGAAAGAGGTCAAGATCTTCGCATCAAAGATGATGGGAGACTCAGACTTTTTGTGGATTATTTTGAGCCAGCCCCTCTGTTAACAGAGAATTGATTTGCCCCTCACCCTTCCCTGGGGGAATCTCATGGTTCCTTCTGCGATGACCAAAATCAAATGGGCCAGCCTTCCCCTTTCCTCCTGTCCCCTCCATCACGCTTCCCCCAGGGCCTGTCAGCCCCATTCTGAGGCCCAACTCCTCCAGCCCTGTAGTCCTGTCCTAACCACTGCTCTTTCCTCTCCCTGCATTTCTGCCCATTGGCTGGTCCAGAGGTTGGAGGATCCACAGATACCCCAATCAGAAGGCTCTACTGGCTTCCAGTAAATGGCCCCAAGCCAGGGGAGTTTTGTTCCCACAGACATTTGCTCTGTCCCCTCTGTCAAGGTGACCCTTTTAGGGAAGCCAACCTTGGTGGCAATTTCGATTCAATGCAGAGAAGCGGTTAATGGGGGGGGTGTGTGCGTGCGTGTGTGTGTGTGTGTGTGGTTTAAGACAGCAAGCTCTGGGAAAGCTAGGCTTCCTCTAGCAGCTCACTTCCCTTCCTCTCCAGCCGGGCTGTGCAATTATTGATAACGTTGCCTTTCCTATGATGGCACCGTTTTCATTAGGAAGCAAATGCCCAGTGTTTCTTACGGACACTCCTCGTCTTTTGACCAACTCTCTTCCTTTGAGGTCAAGAATTAAATAGATGGGGTGGAACGGACACCCCCTTGCTCTCGCGCCAGCGTCCCCCCCCACCCAGCTGTCAGGGCTCCGGGGCCTTTGGACTCCCCGGGTAACCGGAATCAGTAACCAGGGCCGGAGCCCGCAGGCCCGTGTCAGCTCGACGGCACCGCGGGGCGAGTGAGCGCTGGCGGTTTGTTGGCCGTCGCGGAGCTTCCTGAGCCCCGGCCCCCCGCCTCCGCCGACCAAAGGTTTGTCAGTGGGACCGGCCGGGAGACAATAGCTGCCCCCGCGGGGCTCGCTGTTGGCTTGTTTGGAAAGCCCAGAGGCGCTTGGAGGTAAAAAGGTCAGCGCGGGATTGGGGTTTACCCCGGCCCTCCCAACCCCCCCTTCCCGCGTCCTCCAGCTGGCCCGCCCTGGGCCCCCTACCTGCCCGCCTCCCGCGCCCCACCCCACCCGGCCCAGTGGCGGCTGCCTCCCCTCCCCCTCCGTCCAGCGTCCCGGAGACCGGGGACGTTCACCTTGAGCCCGGGGATGGCCCTCTGCAGGCGGGCCGGCTAGGGCCAGAGTCTCCCAGCTACTCTGGCTTCCCTCGTGCCACGTCCCGGTCCCCTTTGCGTGGAAGGGTTCTGCGTTGGGGGGCGGGAGTGGGCCGGGCGGGGTAGGTGGGGGGTAACCTGGGTGCCAGTCTGCAGTTTGTTAGGGACCCATCCTCTGACATTCTCTGAGCAAGAGTTGGAGGGGCGGGGGCGTTATTACACAGCCCACCGACCCCGGGTTCACTCCATCAACCTTTATTGAGGGCCCACTCTATGCCGGGCCTGGCTCTGGGCCTGGGGGAGAGAGCAGGGGGAGGGGGTAGAGGGCCCTTGCTTTCCCCCCACACTTCCTCCTCTGTTTTACACCTTTTCCGTTCTCTCCAAACAAGCTCTTTCTCTCTTTTCCTGCCTTCCTCTCAGGACCCTCCCTGGACCATTTCCTTCCCCCCATCTTTTCCCTTCTCTCTTTCCTGGTTCCTCCAATGACCCAAGGACTGACCACTGTCAGACCTGGAGACTGGGGCCCAGTTCTGCTTGGGATCCACCCAGTAAGTCTTTCTCTTTATCCAGCTGAGATCTTACAGCTCAAATCTTTTTTTTTTTTTTTTTAAGATTTTATTTATTTATTTGGTGAGCTCTCCCACCTCTCTCCCCTTCCCCTCTCCTCCTCCCGGGCCAGCTCTGCGCCCCCAACGTCTGCCCAAAGTCAGAGAGAATGAGAGACAGAGAGCATGAGAGGGAGGAGGGTCAGAGGAAGAAGCAGTCTCCCTGCTGAGCAGGGAGCCGGATGCGGGACTCGATCCCGGGACTCCAGGATCATGACCTGGGCCGAAGGCAGTCGCTTAACCAACTGAGCCACCCAGGCGCCCGGGTTACAGCTCAAATCTTTCCAGCTCAACCAGCATCCACCAACTCTTCCCCCATCTCTCTCCAGGGCTCTTGGGGTTTGAAGCCTCTTCTTCCCGGAGGTGGAGGAGAAGAAGCAGTCAGGAAGATGGGGAAAAACAGACTTTATTGAAATGAGGTAGCTGGCGGTACAGAGAGAAGCCGGTTTGCTTGGGGCTCAGGTTTCCAGAAACTCGGGGCGGGGGGCACCTCCACTGTTTCCAAGGTTCGGAGAAATGCTTGCTGCTGCTAGGAGCTCTCAAGGCACCTGGGTCTCCCGAGGCTGCCTCAGGGCTCGACGTGGAGATGGGGAGGAGGGGCCTGGGTTTTCCAGGAGGCAATAAATAGGGGAGGAACTAGTGGGGGCGTGCCTGCGCCTTCCTGGTAGAGGCTTGCTGGGGGCAGGCCTCGAACAACGTTCCAGAAGTCTCCGGGAGTACCAAGTTCCAAAACACTTTGGTGGCTTAGAGATGAGGTCGCTGGCGGGAGGCAGGTCTCAGAAAAGCTCTGGAGGCTGCGTCGTTAGTGCAATACAAATGTGCCAGGAGGGGGTTAATAAGGTTAGATGGGGGGGGGGGGGGCTTTTTGGTCTGTCACAAGGCAGCTGGTGTTATTGTAAGGTCTGTGGTGACCGGACAGATTAAGCATCGGTAATAGGCCTGCACCCAAAAGCCTCCCCCAAGAGATACTCCAAGGCCTTCCCTCTGTCCCGGCCTAGAAGAGGGAGTTAGGATCCGAGCGCATGAGAGGAGTCCTCGGGGCTCAAAGGCACTGAACTGAACACAGGAAGTGGGAAGGGAAAGGAGAATTCGGGAGGATGAGGCTTGCTCCTACCCCACCCACGTGCTGATCCCCAGATGTAAGGCGGAAGGAAGCCCTTCCCTCCAGAGTTGACAAGTTCCGAGTGTCCCAGGCCTCCCTGGTCCTATAGGGTCCCCAGCCAGCAACACCCTGCCCAGACCAGAGAAAAGCGTCTCCCCATTCTCCCCGAAGGCAGCTGTGAACGGGCGCTCCAGCCTTGGTAAGGGTCGCCGGAACCGTAAAGCCGAGGCCTGGGTCCGGGAGAGCCGAGGAGCGGGCTGCACTGAGGCGCTCTAGAACAGAGGAGCCCCGACGGTTGGGGAGGATTCATTCAGGAGGTGATGGAGCTGGGCGAGGCCTCCGGGGACGTGCACGTCGACTGGTCGGAGGCGTCTCCAGCCGCCTCCTTGGGACAGCCCGGAGGGGCTGCGGGCACCCGGCCTCCCTCCCGCTCGCGCTTCTTCTGCTTCATGCGCCGGTTCTGGAACCAAATCTTGACCTGCGTCTCGTTGAGCTCCAGGGTGGCGGCGATCTCCACCCTCCGGGCGCGGCTCAGGTACTTGTTGAAATGGAACTCCTTCTCCAGCTCGGTCAGCTGCCGCGTGGTGAAGTTGGTGCGGAGGCCGCCGGGCGCGCCCAGGCCCAGCTCGGACACCTTCGCTAGGGGCGGGGCGGGGAAAGGGCCACGTCAGCTCTCCCACCTCTCTCCCCTTCCCCTCTCCTCCTCCCGGGCCAGCTCTGCGCCCCCAACGTCTGCCCAACGTCAGCTCTCCCCGTGCCCTTGGATCGCCAGACACCCCCAAGGTGACCTCCAAATTCAGACGGACCTCCCCCAACTCTTCCGTCCCCCCCCCCCCGCCACCCCCTTCCCAAGAACCGGGTGCTGAGTCTGTGTTGGGCACAGAGATGAGGAAGCGGGGGTGTGTGGCGACTTCCTCTGCAGGGTAACCGGGCACTCCCTGCGGGGGGGGGAAGCCCAACTGACCTGAGACGGGGCGGAGTGCTCTCACCCGCCCCCACCAGGGCTGCTCCACCTGTCCCGCCAGCCCAGGCCCGGGACACCCTCCGTGCAGGAGCGGCAGAGCGGCTTTGAGCCCCGGAGAGGAGGTAGCCGCTCCTGACTCCTACCTGTCTTGGGTGGGTTCCTCTTAACCTTCATCCAGTCGAAGGTCCGGGCCGTGGGGGTGCTGGGTTCTGACGGGCAGGGCGACTCCTTGTCCTCCGAGAGGAGTTCAGCATAGGCCGATGCAAAGCTCGCCGAAGGCTCGTTCCCGAAAGGGGGCTGCGGGGGAGGGTACGGCCCGGGGCCCGCTCCACCGGTTCCATAGCCGTCGGACAAGCCCCCTAGCTGGGCCCCATAGCTCGAAGGATGGTAATAGCCTCCATCTCCTTCCGGTTGGCCCAGAGGATAGTACTGAGAGGGCCCATAGCTGGGGCTGCAGGCGGCAGGGGCGTACCCTGAGGTCGCCGAGCTGGGGAAGGGCACCCCGAGCGCCGAAGGCGGCTGCTGGGTGGGATAGCCTGAGTTCTGCTGGAGCGCGGGGCTGGGCAGTCCCCCACCATAGCGGGTCTCGCCTGCGTAGCTGTCAACAACCGGAGCCGAGTTGGGGGGGAAGGAGGTAGGGGCGCTGTGGGCGCTGTGGGCGCTGTAGGCGCTGGGTCCCCGGTTACAGAGTGGGTACTCTAAAAAGGAATTCATCCTATTATAGTCCATGCGTGGAGGCCGCAGGAGGGTCGGCCCGTTTGGGGGAGACACCCTCTTGCCCTACAACCTTTCGGCAGTATGTCACAGCGCTGAAGCTTGCATCCATGGCCCGGCCCAGCTCGCTTGGGCCAGGGCTCCCCCAGGAAGGGGGTAGGGAGTGGGGGTGGAGGGGCGCATGTGATCTCTCCCAGGCCAATGGGCGCAGCGGGCCAGAGTTTGGCAGCCCCAGCGCCCATCCATCACCCCCCAAGCATTAGCATGACAAAGACACTTCAATCACCCGCAGCCCATCCATCTGAGAGCGACGTGGATGCGTCAAAAACATCTTTCTTCAAAGACTTTTGGGAAGAAGGGACCAGAGGGAGAGGGGGTAAAAGTTAGAGGAATATTCAAGACTTTCTTCCCCTCCCAACCCCCAAGGCCTTCAATAGGCTCCTGGGTTATTAGATTTGGACAAATTCAACCCAGCTGCCCCTCACTCTTCCCACCCCCAAAGGAGCCTCCCTTCACCCCAAGGCTGTAGACTAGGAGGTAGGGAATCCAACCTCCTTACTTTGCCCAAAACTCCCACCCCTGGTCTCTTTCTCCCAATTTATCTTGGGGTGATGGGCTAGGACAGCAGGGGAAGGTATGTTATCTTGGGCCAAATGGATAACTGTGAAGGAAGAGGGTGCAAAACGCCCAAGGGTGGGGCAGGGTCTAGAATCTAGAGGAAGAATTCATTAACGGAGAGGTGGGAAACTCATTTCAGTAAGCAAGGCAGGACGACAGAAATGTGGAGAGGAGGATGAGAAACGCCCCATTTCTCTCTCCACCCCTCCCCAGAAATGCTCTCTCCTCATTCACACATCCATTTCTCTCCCTCAGCCTCACTTTATATTCTCTGTCTCAATACATCTCTCCATTCGTCCATCTCTCTCCATATTTATATTCGTTCCCTACCTACCGATCACCCCATCTCTCTAGATGTATTTATCTTCTCTCTAGCCATCCATAGCTGTAGCTGGCTCGCTCACTCAGACTCAGATAACTCCTTGTATCTCTCCAGAGAGCCACAATGGGTACAGAGCTAGGTGATGTTTACAGGGGAAGAAGAGGGAAATTTTATTCTCTTTCTCAAGTGTTTAAAACTAGTGGAGCTAACTCTAGGGTTGCTGGTGGGGAGGAGGGTGGGGGGATGGGGTAACTGGGTGATGGGCATTGAGGAGGGCACTTGATGTACTGTTATATGCAACTGATGAATCACTAAATTCTACCCCTGAAACTAATAATACACTACATATGAACTAAATTGAATTTAAATAAAATTTTTTTAAATAAAAAATAAATAAAACTAGTGGAACTCCTGTATTCCCCTGGTTGCCTCCTTCCCCTCTCTCCCTTACCAACTTCCATCTCTTTCCCCTACCTCCCCCCCCAAAAAAAATCCCAAGCCTCAAAATCATAAATTCAATACCAGTCGTGTCTTAAAGATTAGTCAAATTTTCAATGAACTTTCTAGAATAAATTAAGGGAGTTTGCTTGGAGAATAAGAGAATCAGAGACTCAGGAGTGGAGCCTCACCCCTCTCTGTCCTGTGTGTCTGTTGGGTTAGGTTTGGGGGAGGGGAGGAGAACAGGAAGTGCCTCCTTCTCTCTCTTTTAGACCTGGATGGGACTGGAAGAGAAACTCTTAGGTAGAGCCCATTGATTCTCCTCCTCCAGACTCTGAGGACAAGAGCTTGGCGCAATCCAACACCCACGCTCATTTGTAACCTGTCAGGGTGTCTGCCTGAGAGGAGGCCTGGGGCTGGGGCTAGGGCAAGTCCGGGAGGGCAAGAGTTCAGGGAGGGATCTCTGTAAACAACGGAACTCAGGAGAGGAAGGGAAGCAAGCAGGTGGGACTGGTCCGAGAGAGGACTCTCAAAGCTGCTCAGCTTTCCCCACCCCTAAAAGGGCAGGGTGAGTACTCCTCCTCTGCAAAGAACCCCAAAGTGCTCCCTCTCTCTCTGTGTGTCTATGTGTCTCTCCATATTTCTGTTTCCCATTTCCCATCATTTTGCCCGTCCTTTATAATCACTTCTCTGGCTTTCTATCTTTAACACCAGAGTCACACAGCCTTTCTCTTCGCTTAATTACTGCGAGCCCAGCTTAGCCCCCCAACTATGAAGGAGCTCAAAGCTTTTCACGGGCCCCTTACCCCTTTCCCTTCCCATGTGTACTCTGCTTTGGACCCTGCTTCAGACGAGAACAAGTTGGGGAGAGGGAGCCAGCTGGTAACTCCTTTAAGGGAGAAACAATGGGGGAGGGTGAGAGAATGTTCTCTGCCAAAGGGATGAGGGCAGACAAAGGAAAGTAGAGTTGAGATGGGGGCAGGGGTGGCCTGCAGAGGGGTTGAAGAGAAAAGGAGTGTAGAGGTGAGAACAAGCATATTTCTTTCTAGTTCCCTTTTTGGGGTTTGTAGATGTTCCTAACTTTTTTCTCTCACTTTAAGATATTCTCCATGGAGGCCTTTGGAGAAGAAGGGTTTATTTAGAGTTAGGATTTTCAAACCCCAAATCTGATTGAGGACTGTATCTGACCCAGTGGCCCAGCCTCTGAGAGACTTGAGACTTCTTCACTCTCTACATTTGCCTCAATCCAGAAAGAACCCACTCACCTCATCCCTTGCTTTTCCAATTAAGGCAACAATTTGAGGTCTAAATGAAGTGAATTCCAAACCAGTTTGTTTGTTTGTTTGTTTGTTTGTTTTTAGAGGGGGGAGGGCCAAAGGAGAGGAACTGAGAGAAGATTAAGCAGGTTCTACTACCAGTGAGGAGCCCGACTGAGGGCTCAATCTCACAACCCTGAGACCATGACCTGAGCAGATATCAAGAGTCAGGCGCTTAACCGACTGAGCCACCCAAGAGCTCTTGCAAAGGGATGGGGGAAAGTGTTTTAAGTGATACTATTGATTACAGGGATAGCTTTGGCCTCAGTTCTCCAAATTCACTTATAATCCTTAATGCATCCCTGAGTCTTGCTCCCTTCCCTTGTGTAGCAGAAAGATTAAAACTTCCCCAAATTCCTGTTGGCTCCCCCAGCTTCAGCAGAAATGACTGGTGGGGAAAAAAGTAACTTGGCTCTCTACATTCCCAAGTTGCTTCCTCCTTAAAAGAAACTTCACCAGCCTCTGGCCTGAGAAGAAAGTTTTCGAAGCCTGGATTCCTTGCTAAATCCACAGCTGAGTACAAAACAAACAAAGAAACAAACAGAAGTAATCCACAGCTGGAGTAACCTCTGGGCTACAGCATTTTCTGGATGACCAAATTAAGTTCACCAGAGAAGGTCTGGGTGCACCCAACACCAAAGTGAAATAAAGTCGATTGATTTCCTCTTTTATATAATCTATTTAGACACGCAGGAGAGCAAGGACACCATAGGCGTGTTTAGAACCAAAATGATCTTTGAGAGGTGCTAGTCCTTATCATACTGAGAATGGGGCTGTGTTAGAAGTTTACACCTGATTCTGGCCTTTTTTGTGCAGGAAGCTGCTTTTGCTGGGGGGGGGGGGGTAGCAGGAGTAATCTGCACTCTTCCTTCATAAAATCCTCAAGTGTCTCTCTGCCTGCTCTTCCCAGCCCAATTCTTGAGGCCCAAGGCCAAGCCCAAGATCAAAGGTTGGAACATAAGAATTAAGAGGGCATTCAGGTTATAATTTTTTCTCTATAAGAGATGGCTATTTGAGGAGAGGATGGAATCTGAATTCAGTGGTGTTTCTTTTAATACAGACTGATTAAATTGTCACAAATCTGGTTGACAACCATAGACTATGGGCAGTACATATCATAAGGGGAAGACTACTAGCTTGGGGGCCAGAATACTTGGGTTCAAATCCTTGCTTGGCCATTTCTTAGCATTATGACTCTGGATAAGTTTCCTGGTCTTTCTGAGTCTCAGCCTCATGGAAGAAGAATGGGTTTAATTCTACTTACTTCACTGCATTGTTAGTAGAATTAAAGCAAACAAGAAAATATAAACAATAGAGAACTCTGTAAATGTCTGATATAAACATTACTTGCACATTCTGAAACAGTATGAGTCAGTCTTCTGTTTTTTTAATATAATTAGCATATTAAAATATGGAAATATGTGGGTGCCTGGGTGGCTCAGATGGTTAAGCATCTGCCTTCGGCTCAGGTCATGATCCCGGGATCCTGGGATCGAGTCCTGCATTGGGCTCTCTGCTCCTTGGGGATCCTGCTTCTCCCTCTGTCTCTGCCTCTCTTTCTCTCTGTCTCTCATGAATAAATGAATAAAATCTTTAAAAATAAAAAAATAAGGGGCACCTGGGTGGCTCAGTCGTTAAGCATCTGCCTTCGGCTCAGATCATGATCCCAGGGTCCTGGGATTGAGCCCTGTATTGGGCTCCCTGCTCAGCGGGAAGCCTGCTTCTCCCTGTCCCACTCCCCCTGCTTGTGTTCCCTCTCTAGCTGTCTCTCTCTCTGTCAAATAAATAAAATCTTTTTTAAAAAAATAAAAATAAAAATAAAAAATAAAATAAATAAAATATGGAAATATGTGATAGGAAAATAGCATATGTGTTATATTTTCATGTAACATATCACCATATATTATACAATATGTGTTTTGTCATATGCAAATTTCATTGAGAATTGAGAAGTTTGTCTTTGTTTAGGCAAGGGATTTTCTTCTAAACTACAGAGTTCTTTGGGAACTAAAGCCTAATGTCATATAATCTATAAAGAACCCAAATGATTAAAATTGTAGCAGAAGGGTGAGGTTCGATATTAGCAAGAACTTCCTGATCTTCCAAATATTTGGAAAAAGTTTTCTAGGGAGGATGTTGTCTCTCATTCCTTGAGGAACTTAGCTTAGAAACTGCTCTTTCTGGGTGAACCTGACTTCTGTGTTCTAGATAGAGTTCATCTGCACTGAAAGGTAAGTCAGAGAGTTGGAATCTTTCTAAAAGGAAAGGTTAGAGTGACATGAAGAGTTGAAATAATTTTCTACTCAGTTGGGTTTCTCCGAGTGTGTTAGTGGTGGCCAAAATATCCACTTTGGAAACTTTATAGAACAATGATCAAAATGACTTTGTATCTAGGTGACTGTCCGGACTGCGATTTTTCTGTGGTGTTTGGGAATTAGAGAAGGTTTTAGGAGGGCTCTTTTACTGGTGACTCTTCTCAGGAGGAAGCAGTTTGTTAGATCTCCTTTAGACACTAAATATCTGCTTCCCAGCTGAGTGTGAAGAGGGGGCTGGATGGAGACAGGAGGGCAGAGCTGAGCTAGAGAGGTCAAGGGAGGATTTGGGCCACACCAGCCACAGCAGGTGGAGGGGATGACATGGGGGCTCGAGGCCACTCTCTGCAAACTGAGCACATGTATTTGACGAGAGCACTTTCAAGAATATGTACAGGAGGGTCGCGGAACGCTTGTCAGAAACTTAGGGGAAAGGTGGGCAGGGGAATTCATCAGGGCTCTTTAGGGAGACCCAGAATTTGTACCTATGCTCTGATGCTGGAGGAACCAGACAAAACCTGACTTAAAGGGACTTTTAAGGTCTAGTACACGGTGTCAAAGCAGCTTGGTGGCTCTTTTTGTATACAATGTCCTACTGGGTTTTTTTTTTTAAGATTTTATTTATTTGACAGAGAGAGAGCGAGCACAAGTAGGCGGAGGCAGAGCCGTGGGCAGAGAGAGAGGGAGAAGGAGGCTTCCCGCTGAGCTGAGAGCCCGAAGGAGGCTGGATCCCAGGACCCCGGGATCATGACCTGAGCCGAAGGCAGACGCCCAACTGACTGAACCACCCAGGTGCCCCATCCTACTGTTTTTGACACAAGAGGAAACATAACCAAATGTTGGGGAAGGTGACAAAAGTTGGAAGTCAGAGAAAAGCTTGGTTAGGACACTTCTGAATACTCATATCTGTTGAACACCTGGCACATAACACTACACCCAATGACATGTTTGTTGAAAAAGATTTATTTCCCTACTAGTTTAAATAATGATTGGGGGCATGATTGTTGGTATAAAGATACAAATTAAAATGTGTTAAAATGGCTCTACCAGATACTTGGGAGGTGGGTTGTTGTCAAACATCAAAAGTCACCACCTCCATTTAAAATCACATGACACCAGCCACAATAAATATTTAATACATTATTTGTGAAGACTAACAAATATACTTTGGGCATATATCGATGCAGAAGATATTAGAGACATTAGTCCTTCCATCTGTTTTACAGATGGAGAAACTGAGGTCTGGAAAGGGGAAGGGACTTGCCCCAACATGAGTTAAATTTTTTTTTTTAATGACTCAGGGTTATCATGATGGCAAATAATTCCTCAATCTAATGGTCCTTTGCTTTCACCATAATATTAACGAGCCATTCTTCTTAAAAGATGACGCACCAAGAGCAAGGCAGACTGACCAGCAGCTTTCAGGACTGCACTGAAACCTTCCCACTCCAACCACAGCCAATTTATAACCAGTCTGTGCTACAGACCACTCACACTTGGTCCTGACCGAAGAGGAGCCCTGCCCCAATCAGAATGGGGTAAGTGAGTGCAGCTGCAGGGCATCACTATCAGCTTACCATCATGCGGGGCGGGGCAGGGTAGGGGTGGGGGTGCTGCCTTATCTGGGAACCCCTTCCTCTTCTCCTTCCTTCTCCTAAGCCAGCTGGGAAAACTCAGGCTAAAGAGGATGGCCCCAGAGATGAAGCAAGGAAAGGAGCTGATTTGGAACACAGGCATCCCCAGTACCAGTCCTTTATGAAACCCAAATTGCCAGGCATTCCTTTGATTTTGAAATTCGGTGGGGAGCTTGAAAACAGGAGTCCTCTCTTTCTGGAAATGCATTGTCTCTTTGTTCTGCAGTGGTGGCATCAGAGATGGTGAGTTTTGTGAATATGGAAAAGGAGAGACAGAACGGCTCCTGCGTTGTGCGTTGAAGAGTTCCAACTCCTCTCTAATAATCAACCAAGAGAAATGCTGGAAATGCTCCTGATTCCCTAGATTCATTGCTTCCCACCCTCAGGCTACACAAAGTGCCTAGATCTGAACACGTAGAACGAGCCTTTGGCTGGGCCCTCCTGGCCCTCCACTCACTTTGGCAGGGAGGAATCAGGACTGGTGCAGCCTCAGGCAGGAGCTGAGATTCCCTGTCCTTTGGGCCACTAGTTTGAGTTGGGGAGGATTGGAAGGGAGCAGCCAGGTTAAGCAGGTCAAAAATTCTTAAGCATGGGAGGAAGGCAGGAAGCAATGTGGCACTATGATCTAGTAGTGCTGCTCAAACTTTAATGTGCATATAAATTACTTGGGGATCTGCTAAATTGAGGTTTTGATCCAGTAGACCTGAAGTGGGGCCTAAGACTCTGCATTTCTAACCAGCTCCCAGGTGGTGCTGATGCTGCTGGTCCACGGAGCAGCAAGGCTCTCAGAGAACTGAAGCCTCAGAGGCCCCAGAGTGTTGCAGACCAAGCCATGATCCCAGGATGCGAATTCTCTCCAGCAGAGCAAATCCTGTATTTTTGGCATTGTTGAAGGGTGCTCTCCTTTTGACCAAAGAAAGCTGGAAGGTGGGCAATTAGCAAGATCCTTCTGGTATTCTTGATCTTTGTAACAACCTGCTATAGCTGAAAGAGCATTTTTAATTAGACCAAATTATCTAGTTTGGCTGTCCATAGAAATCAAAGCCCCAGCTGAAATGTCTGTTTCATTTTGTTGGTGTAGAGACGGCTGTGTGCTGTGATTTTTAAGATGTTAGGCACTGCCTGTGGGCATATTTTATGGAGAAATAAACACACAGCCCAATGAGATGTATAGTGTGGTTTTAATATATTGTATATTCGCTTATTTATGGGGAAAATAAATACACAAGCCAATAAGCTGTGTATTATTACTTTAATATATTGAATTTATTTCATACCTATATATTTTATGAGGGAAAATAAACTAAAAGATACATGATATTATTATAATAACACATCTAATTGTTCTATATTAATTTATTTATGAAGAAATAAGTGCAACTTAACATGACATAGGATTATTTAATACAGGAGATGAATTCTATATTAAGACAGTTTAAGGGATTAAATTCCAGCTGAATAAGATGTGTGCACTAGCCACACTGAGGGACCAGTTAAAAAAAATATGGGAGAGCCTGTCTAGTCCTATATGTCATGACCTATGTTGGCTCCCGGCTTCTCTTGACAGTTGTGGCCTCCCAGTGCCTGGTACTCCAAGTTCCCGTCCGTCCTTCTGGTCCAGGGGAAAGTCTGGGAGGCCCAGGAAATAAACTGCTTTCGTAGAATGGCAGCATCTGCTGGGGAGGTAACCCTGCGGTGTCTGTTTCTGAGCCAGAGAAATATTAAGTAAACCTAAGGAGGATGGATGGCTTTCCAGGGCCCTTTAAATCTCCGCGTTCCCCGGAACAAACCAGGAGGCAGATGGGGGAGATCGATCCTCGGCTTCCCGCTTTGCCGGGTTTGCAAGGAGCCTGGCTGGGCGCGGTGGGGGACAGCAGACAGCGGTGAGATGGCAGATGAAGCTGTTGGTAAGACAGGTAGGCCTGCATTCGGAGAGAGCTCTGGCCGGGCTTCAGATCCCAGAACGAAGGACCCAAAGTCAGACCCCGCGAGGCCGACCCGGGCCTGCACGCCCGCCGCTCAGCCCCTGCCCTGCACGCCCGCCGCTCAGCCCCTGCCCTGCCCGCCCCGCGCGGCCTCCACGTCCACCTCGCGTCCTCGGCCTCCCTCGCGGCATTTGTTTAAATAAAACAAAAACGAAAAGGAGGCGCCCGGGCTCCCTTCCTTCCGTGGCGTCTGGAAGATCCGGAAAGGAGACGCCGGGCGCGGGGACCGAGCATCCCGAAGCGGCTGTCATGGCGGCCACCGTCTCTTCCCTCGCCCTCCCTGCAGCCCGGCCCCAGCGCCATTTTGAGCATCTTCCTTGCTTCCCTGTCGCCCGCCCGCTCTCCTCGCTCCTCCTTCCCGCCCCCGTAGGCCAAGCGCCTGCCGACGCAGCCCGGGCCTCCCCGGGCGTGCCGCTCCGCCGCTCCGCCGCCGCTCTCCCGACCGCGAAGCCCTGCAGGGGCTGCCCCGGTGCCCGGCCCGCTCCGCGCGTCAGCCGGGCCCCTTTCGCGCGCACTTGGATCCTGCTTCCCGAGAGAACCCCGACCCCCCTCGGCGCCTTGGCCCGGCCCACGTCCCCAGGTCTCGCCGTCCGCGGGCTTCCTTCGACCCCGCTTGGGGCACTGAAGCGAGAAACCTGGGAAACCCGAGGACCCCTCCAAATTCGGCTAAACCTCTGCGCCCCCTCCCACGACCCCGAAGCCTCTCCTGGCACCCTCGTCTGTACCTTCTCCCGTCACCCGCCCACCCTTATTTCTAAGCGGAGGCCGGGGAACGCCGGCGCAGGGCCAAAGGCCGGCCGTCCGGCCGTCCGGCCGTCCTTTAGAGGGTGTCAAGGGGACAGAACTTCCAGCAAACCCCCCGACTCCTCCCGAGCTGCGGGCCGAGAAGCGGTGGCCAAATAGGGTGACTTTTGTACCACCCGGACTTAGCGGCCCAGGGTCGGGCAAGCCGCGCGCGGGTCCCCAGGGAGTGACGGCCGGCCTAGGGGGGCTGCAGGGAAAGGGGCTGGGTCCCAACACAAACACTCATTTTCGTATTATAAAGACATTTATTTAATCTATGAAAATAATGTACAATAAATACTTTCCCCTTTTCCTATTATTAAAGAGTTTTAATAAATAATCTACGGTCTAAAACAAAAGAGAGAGAGAGAGAGAGAGGAAAACAAGTTCCTCTAGTTCTTTTTTAAGAAAGCCCCCCCCCAGAGTTTAATTATTCCTGAGATTTCATTGGAAGGAGTCTACCAAACGGAATTTTCCTGTGTGATTTTTTTTTTTAAGACGCCGCAGTGCCCAGTATTTTAGAGAGAAAAGAAAGGAAATGGATTAAACGCTAATTCCGGAATACCTGAATTTTAGCCAAACACATAAATCTAAACGACTTGGGGGAGGGGGTCCTTGGCTTTTCCCGCAGTCGGCCGAGGGGACCGGGTCGAAGGGGCCGGGACGGGGAAACAGGTTAGGGGAACTGCAGGTCGATGGTACAGAGGGTGCTGGTGAAGAAGTCCAGCCCCTCCTCGGAAAAGGGAACCGGGCTGTCGAGCGAGCCCTGCAGGCTGGGGGAGAGGCCTCCGGACAGCTGGAGACAGGAGTCGGCCGCGAAGAAGTTGAGGTCGGGCAGGAAAGGCGAATCCCGCCGCTCCGGGAAGGCATCTTCCGGCAACGGCTCGGGCTCCAGCCCGGCGGCCGCGCGCGAACCGCCCCCCCCGTGAGCGGCCACAGGCTGGGGGCCCTGGGCGCCCGGGGGGGCCGGCGCAACCTCGGGCGGGTGAGAGCAGCCTTCCCGCGCCGCCCGCGAAGCGGAGGGCCGGCCAGGGCTGGCCACCGGCTCTTCGGCGGGCTCGCCGGTGTCCTCCAGGGCGCCCGGGCAGGCGGGCTCCCCGTCGGGCGGCTCTCGGTGCTGCGTCTGCCGCTTGTGCTTCATGCGTCGGTTCTGGAACCACACTTTGACCTGCCTCTCGGTGAGGTCCAGCAAGGCCGCGATCTCGACGCGGCGCGGCCGGCACAGGTACTTGTTAAAGTGGAATTCCTTCTCCAACTCCAGCAGTTGCGTGTTGGTGTAAGCAGTGCGCAGCCTGCGCGCCCCGCCGCCCGCGGCCTCCGGCAGTCCCGGGCCATCTGCAGGGAAAGCGGGCTGGGCGTCAGAGCGGGCCGTGTCCCCGGCCCAAGCTCATTCAGCTTCAGTGAAGACCACCCCATCCGCCAAAAACAGTATCAGCAGTACCCCCCCTCCTTCCCCGCCTACCGAAGCCGTTCGCTCCCACTGCTTTTCCGTTCTTTCCTGTCCCCCTCTCGCCGGCAGCCCCGGCCCGGGTCAGGGCAAAGCATTCAGAGAGCCACCCACGGGCCACGCAGGGGGTAGGGAGCGGCTCCCTTTTGCCCCCAGAACCTCAGAGCCTCCCTCCGGAGTCCTTGGAGTAGACCCCTCAATTCGGCACTTTCGAGCTCAACCCAGAGAGAGGGTTCATTAAGAAAGACTGTTCCTCACCTCCTTTCCTCCCTTGCTTTCAAATCCCCCTCTTTTAGAGCTGGGGGAGGGGGGAGATGGGGCCGAATCTTTTCTTGCCCCCAGATTCAACAACCCAGCAACACCACTTTAATTCCTCCACACAGATAGAGGTGAAAACCTAAATCAAATCCTTTTCTTCTAGCAGAGACAAAGCTCTTCCCCAGCCAGGTTCCAAAAATCTGCTATAGTGGGGGAAAAAAAAAAATGCTGGCAGCGGCCAGGCCTGAACCCCAGCAGCATATTCCGCTCCCTCACCCCTGGAATCGACGGGGCAAGGATCCCCAACAGGCTCGACACCCTTTCTACCTCCCCCACCTCTCTTTCTCCCCCTCTCTTCTAGCTGCCCCTCACCCCACCCCTACCCCGCTAACAGACCTGCTGGCGATCCGACCCCGGAGGCCGAAACGGAGGAGGCGGCGGCCGGGGGAGACGAGGCGGATTGGCTGGGTTTCTTGGCGGATTTCTTCTCTTTCATCCAGGGGAACTCGGGGACCAAGGGGGCGGCGGGGAGCGGCGGCGGTGGCGGCGGCAGAACGGGCCCATCTTCGGCTCGCTTTTGGCTCCCGGGTCTCTGAAGGGTGGAGGCGCCGGGCTGGAGGCTGGGGAAGGTTTGCTCGAAAGGAGGAGGAGGAGGAATTAATGTCGACTCCTTGATTGATGAAGTTTGAAATGTCTCCAAGACAGCGGGGAAGGAAGTCAGACACTCGGCGAGCGATGGCTGGCTGTTTATAAACCCAATCTCCCTCTCAAATTCAAAATTCATGGCTTTCAATGGTGGGGGAGGGGGCCTGCTGGGGGGGGCGTCAGGAGGGAGGATCGGAAGGGACCCCCCCTCCTGCCCCCCCCAGGTTTATGTGATGGAGCGATTTTGGGAGGGGGAGATTTCGCTCTTTCTCTCTCTCGCGCTCTCTCTCTTTTTTTTTTTTTTTTTAATTTTGGGCCTTTATAATTGTATATTGCTGATAAATACAAGCGTATGGGGACTCTCTCTATTAAACCCAGGACTCCAGCGAAATTGCAGGGAATTCATGGTCACGGGACTGGCCTCGGCCAATCGCTCGTCTGGGCCTGGTGGAAAACAGAGAGCATTATTTGCTTTAATTGATTCAAAAACTCTAGAGGACCACGACCTGGACACTGTGAGCCCCAAGTCCTACACTCCCTCTCCCCAAAGCCTCCCTTTCTCCAGAAAAGCTGGAGGAAACTTTCTCTCATCCCCTTCAGAGGATGGGAGGTTCCGAAAGCTGGGACACAAGAGAATCTAAGGGAGAAGTCTTCCTCTTTTCCAAATATTTGTAATAGAATATATTAATACATTCTTTACAATGCCAGCAGCATTTTCTTCCCCACCCTTCCCCCATTAAAAAAAGAAAAAAGAAGAAAAGAAAGAAAGAAAACTGAGTAAGGATCTCAATGTGGGAGAAAGAGGTAGTAGAAAGAGGCTTCCATCCTTTGGGAAAGGTCAGTGTTAAGGTGCAATAAGGAAGAGAAGAGATTTACAATCACCAGCACCACCATCCTCATCCCACCCCCCAAAAGCAACAGATAAATCTTGGAAAATCGACAGGCACTCCCAGGTTGACACGGAGGAGTGAAATAGATGGTGGGGGACCCTTTTGGGCCTCTGGCAGCCATAGCTGTGTGGTCTCAGTTTCCTCCTCTGCCTGGTGTTTGCGGCAGTGCCCCTGCCCCTATGTCCACCTGCCTTCCTTACCTGGAGTCTTCATCTCACTCCTTTTTGATACCCCACAATGGACAGGGTCTAAGGTGCATGTGCTCCCATTGGAGCCTCAAGTCTGTATCTACATCTGTCTCCAGGGACGCGAACAAGAACCGAGGTAGTGCGATTTAACTTAGAGCACTCTCAAACTCAGGTCAATGTGTGGGGGGAGGATTTCCCTCCCAGGACAAACAGTATCCCCTCTCCCATTTTTGCCAGTGTGCTAGTTTAAAAATAATAATAATAATCCTTGGCAAGAAAGAATTATCTGAGCATGGAGGGGGTAAAAACAATGAATAAGGAGATGATATTCCATTTCTGGCCCCCGGGAGGGGGGGAGATTTTTTATTTTTTATTTTTTATTTTTTGAGGGGATCAAGAGAGTGCTGAACTTTAGGGAGTGCTGTAATTTACTGGAGAGAGGGGACACATAACTCGGGGCCCCAAGCAATTGGTGGGAAACTAGATCTCAAAGCAGAAAATGAAAAGTCGATCTGGGGAAAGATTTTTAAATAAGTGGGTCAGAGGGACCGAGAGGAGATGAGGCGATCAATCTTAGCCCCCTGACAGCTCCCTCCGATGGCATCAAAGAATTTGGCTCTTTGGGAAAGCAGAGGGAACAGCCGAAATTCCACATCCCTTTAAAAGGCCTGGGGGTGGGGGTGATAGCAAGAGAGAAAGGTGATTCTGGGAGAGCGGGGAAACAGATGGGAAATGGGGACAGAGGGAAGGACGCTGAGTTGGGTGGAAAGTTTGTCTGGAGAACTCCCACGGCTCTGGCCTCCCCTCCCCCTCCTCCTCTCCGCGGGCCCGGCAAGGAGGAGAAAGCTGGTTAGCAGAGAAATGGCAACTCAGCCGGCAGCTGGAACTAGAAACTTTCTGTCAATGTAACAGCCGCGTGGGTGGCGGTGAGTATTCATCCGCGTGGGTGGCGGTGAGTATTTAAAAAGGACAGAGAAGGACAGAGGAGAGCCAGTAGGGAGAAAGGGGATTTGTAGGTGGGGGCTGCAGGGACAGGGGGTGGCCGGCTACGGAGGGTTCAGAACAGGGAGAGGGGCTCTGAACTGCGCAAACTGGCCAGAGACCGTTGCGTCCCACCCCACTCCAAAGAAGCCAGTTTTTGCCCTTTGGGGGGGGGGGGGGGGAGGGGGGAGGGGCACAGAAGAATCCCGAGTAGAAGTTGTCTGGAAGTTGTGCAGTGAGGCCTGAAAGAGGGTTCTCCGTCCGGCCACCCCCTTGAGAAGCCCGGGAAGTTTTTTCCACGGCCTCTCCAGCTGGCTGCAGGGTCTAGCGCTTCTCTCGGCACCAACTCCGGCCGAGGCTGTCCCTGCAGGAAATACGGCTCTCTTTAACCCTGCTGACAGATTTTACGGCCAGATTAGAGAAGAGCAGAAAAGTTGGGTGTTAAAAGCGGCCAAGAGAGCCCTCCTTCCCAGAGACACCGCGTCCCGCCTCCCGTTGTGCTGTGAATCTTACAGCACAGATATTTCCCCCACGACTTTGGCTGCTTAGCCAGCGCCTGGAATCTCGCAGAAAGAAGGGTAGAGGACACCAAGCCAAGTGGGCCCTTATTTTTCGTTTGCAATTCCAGCTTCAAGCCAAAGCTCTGCTTTTCAAACTTAAGCTAAATTCCTTCTCTTGGCCTGCCTCTCTCCTGCTAGATAAATAATCAATCCACTCCACCCCCAGAGCCAAACATGGCGCTTCATCTAGTCACATCATTCAGAAAATGGTATTCAGGGAAGAGGAAGAGGGAAAGACAGAAAGAAAGAAAAACCCTTGAGCGTTATTTGATCCCAATCAAACTTTGCACGCTCTTATGCCTTTAAATTATAGCCTGACCCGATGCTAAATTGCTTGCTGCTTGGATGAGCCGAGTCCAGTTAAAATCCTACTTGGTGGGGTGGGAGGGGGGAGGGTGTAGAATTCAGGTTGCTTTTTTATTGTTATTTATTGTTGCATAAAGACTGTAATTACTAACCTTGGACTGCCAGGATGCAACATAAAAATGAAAATCAGCCCTCGCTTTAAGGCTGAGGGCCTGGAACGATTCTCACTGACACTGCCCCCCCCCATCACTACCACCAAATATATGCTCCTAATTAAGCAATGCGGGCGCATCGCTTACAATTAGAATTATGCAACTCTTCAGCGCAGCCATCGCTCCTCTTTCAATGAATTAGCTCCATATTTCAGCCGCCCTGTCTCTTTGCTCTTATCGGCTCCAGCGACGCGGCGGTGACATTTCATCTTTGACAGACCCTCTCTATCCTCGCTCCAATGTGATAAAACTTTTATGGAACCACGACTGAGAAATGAAGTTTTCCCAGGGATCGTCGAAATGGAGCTGCACATTAGCCTGGGGACCATTTTATTTACGCTGGGATCCAACCGCTTCTCCCACCCTCCTTCTCTCCCCTTTCCTTGGCAGGGGAAATCGAAGGCGCCTCCTCTTCCTCCGCCCCGAGTTTTATTTAGTGATTTAATTTCACTTTAGTTTTAAGGTTTGACCTGAGAAGTCTAGGCCTCAGATTTTTTTTTTAATCATTTTCCTTTGTTTTCATTTTAGACCCAATGGTGGTTGGGCTTCGGGTCACGTGACGACTTCTTTGTAGCTCCGGAAGAGAACTGTGAAGTTTAGGTTGCTTGGAAGAAGCAGTAAATGGCCAGATTTTGTTGTTGTTGTTGTTGTTGTTGTTGGGTAAGGGGTGGCCAGGAAGTTGTGGCCAAAGGAGCAAGAAGACAAAAGGTCAATGAGAAAAACTGAGAGGCAAGTAAGCCAAACAGAAAGGCCTAAAGAGAGCACCCAAGGGTCCTCCTCCCCCAGCCCCGCAACTTGTTACTTAAATCTTAGCTAAAGAAATTGGCAGAACGTTCCAGGCCTAAGGCACGGCAAGGCGGGGGGGGGGGGGGGGGGGGGGGGTAGGGGCCTGAGCCTTGGGTACAAAATCCAGGGTAGGGTCTTCAATGTCCTTCTTTCCTTGGGGGAAATTTGGCAGTCAGCGGCCTTGCTCTGCTATCTAAATTGGACCACCAGGACAAGATAAAATTGATAACAGAAAGTTTATTCAAGAATTGTTTGACAGACAACCCTTTCAAGTAAGGAAAAAAGTAACTACGGAAGAACAAAGAAAGTTCCAGGAGGGAATTAACTCTAATTCTACAAATTCAGGACTATACAGTGACAATAGGAGCTGAGTTCATGCCTTTTAGAACTAATTACAATTGCTCATAAGCACGAGTTTAACATAAATCTACAGCTCTTTTCTAGAGTACAATAATAACTAAAATAGCTGGTTTTACATGACAGGAAACACAATGTCCTTTATAACAAGTAAATACTAAAAAAGTACAGTTTTTCATTTTTTCCCTCATATAAATACATAATGTAGGGGGATAAATAATACAAAAAAGAAAATATTTTAACAGGCTATAACCAATAAATATATATGAAAATGTTCACTAGAACACACACTTTTTGAGCAATGCTGGATTCCTGCAGGCCCAGGCATCTCTCACAGTTGTTTTTATATCCATTAAAATGTAAACTCTAAGTGCAACAAAAGTGTCCTGTCAGGGGGTTGAGCAAGGCGCACAGGCCCAGCTGCAGCCCCTGCCTGGGACAGACAGTTTGTTAAAATATACCCTGTTTTCACGTTAAGTCAAGAGAGCAACAGAAGAAAAGAAAAGTGTAGAACCTCGCGTCGCCGACTGCTTTCTGTGGAGAGAGGGGGATGGTCCTGGAGCTGAGATGGGAGGCAGCAGAATGGGCAAACCTTCAGTCCTGACACCTTGCCTGCTCTGACCACTCAGTTTTCCATAAAAGAAAAAATATATATTTATAATATAGACAGCTCTGACTTTCAGGATCTCTCACCATCCCTGAGCCCTCTGAAAACTGTAATAGATGGGGGCGGGGTAGAGATATTAATGTCCTAAAGCGGAAAATATGGGGCTAGAAATGAAGGGAATGCCCAAGAAACCTCAAATAGATGGGAAGAAACTTGAGGCTTCATGGAAGTGGGAGGGGAGCGTGCTTTGTGCCCTTGGTTTTGAAATGCGCTCTTTTGTTTTGTTTTGTTTTTTAAAGGAGAATTGCAAGAAAAAAAAGTCAAGATTTGGAGAAATTACCCACAGAGAGAGAAGGTAAGTTGGTTGGTGATGGCCTACCCATCTTGTCTGTTTTTTTAAATGTGCTTCTTTGCCTTGTTTCCCTATCTCCTCTTCCTCCACCCCACTCGGGAGCGTGGAATTCCAACTGGGTATTGCTGGAGGCCTAGGGTTGAGGGGGTCATCTCCACAATCTGCTGTGGATTCCTCTCCAACGGGTCGGCAGGCAGATGGAACAAGGACTGGAGGACCTTAAAAAGCAACTTCTCAGGCCTGGGGGAGGGAAAGGAGCTCCAGGCCTGGTCTTCCCAGGAAGCGTGCCTATCACCTCCTGGCCTCCTCTGTCAGACCTCCAGGCTGCCCTCCCAGAGCTCCACGGCCGGGCACCCCTCTGGCTCTCACCGACCCCATGGCCTCGCCCCTCCGCCCTCCCTCTCCCATCACAGGTGTGTTAATTTGGGCGCTTCTTGGATTCTACCCTGAGGAGGAGGCGCATGGTGAGAGGAGAGGTCTGTGTAGGTAGGGTGGGGATCGCAGGGTCCGTGGTGCTGGTTGGGGGCCATAGGGGGCGCCCCGTTGTAGTCCAGGTTCCCCGAAGGGTGGTGGGAAAGGTGGTTGAGGCCGTAGAGGGAGGGGCCGGCAGGGGGCGGCAGCGGATCCGCGTAGCCGCCCCCGCCCACGTACACGGGGCTGCCCTGCATGGTGGGCGTCCCGTAGGCGCCCCCATTGGCTTGAAGGACGTGAGGCTCGTAATCGGGCGCCGGGGTCGGGGGGTACTTCTGCGGGGCGCCGCAGCCTTTGAGAGGGGGCTGGTAGCTGGAGGGCAGCGCGTAGGCATTCTGGTGGGCTTTGCCGAAGGCGGGCGGGGACGGGCTCTCGTAGCTGGGGGTCATGGAGTGTAAGGCGTTCATGAAGCCGGCCGTGGACTGCATGGGCTGCGGGGGGCTGCCGGCGGGGGAGGGGCCCCCGGACGACGAGGCCAGGCCCTTGGCCTTCTGGTCCTTCTTGTACTTCATGCGCCGGTTCTGGAACCAGATCTTGATCTGCCGCTCGCTGAGGTTCAGCAGGTTGGCCATCTCCACGCGGCGCGGCCGGCACAGGTAGCGGTTGAAGTGGAACTCCTTCTCCAGCTCCACCAGCTGCGCGCTCGTGTACGCCGTCCGCGCGCGCTTGGACGCCGCCGACCCCGGGGGGCTCTTGTCCCCTCCCCCGCCGCCGCCGCCCCCGCCGCCGCCACTGCCGCCGCCGCCGCCGCAGCCCTCCGCTGGATCCGAGGGGGAGGGGTGGGAAGGGGACAAAATGAAATAAAAGATAATTACTGAACACGCCGAAATTGAATGCATGGTTTCTTAATAAATCCAGGCCTGGACTCGGAGCCACCGCCGCCCTCCCCTTCTCGTCCCCGCCTCCTCCTAACCGCCCCCCCCAACACCCGTCGCATTAGCGGACACTCTATAATAGTGGCATTTATTAAGAGACCTGTTCTCCTCTTGCTGCCCCAGCTTATGAAAATTTGATCATGTCACGCAGACAGAGCCGCATGGCCATTCATTTAGAGCTGGATTTTCTCGCGCACGCTTTCTCCCCCCATTTCCCAATTCCGGGTTCTGGGAAGACCCCACCCCACCCCCACTCCCTCCCACACACACTTCCCGCCAGGTCCTCTGGACCAGGTGGGCGGCCAAGGAGAACCCCTGGGGGAATCTGGACATTCGGGGACAGGGCGCGGAAGTGTGGCTCGAAGAGGCTGCTTTGCCTGGAGGCCGGGACCCCGGGCCGCCCGAGCGATTGTGATTAATACCCACAGTAATCATACTTAATAATAATCAATCGTTGACGACTCTGCGTCTGCTGGCAGCGTCTCGTGGCTCTGTGGCCTTGCCAAGGGCTGAGGCTGAGCAAGCACCTGGCCTTCTGGAGCTCTCGGCAGCTCAGGTGGAGGGTGGCTGGCGGGACAGGGTGTTGGCGGGGTCAGGGGTCGTCAGGTGGTGGGGGGACGGGCAAAGCGCCGCCGCCCGGGCGCCTAGGGGCTGGGTGCTAGAATAACAGTGACATTCCTGGCCCTGACAAAAGCTGACGACGGGGAAGGCAGAGAGCTGGTACCTGCGCCGGGGGAGCTGTTTTTCAGCTTGGACGTTTGCCTTGACTCTTTCATCCAGGGGAATATCTGTTTGGTGAGGGTGGAGTTGGAGCCGGGAACGCACTTGGGGGTGCCGCTTTTGCTGGGCCCGCCCCCATTACTGCTGTTGCTGGTGGCACTGGTAGGTGCGGCGCTGGGCGGGGGTGAGCCGGGCGGGGCGGGCAGGGGCTCGGGGGCCAGGCCGGGCCTCATGCAGCTGCCGTTGAGCTCCTTGCTCTTGGCATGCGGGGCGGCGTTGCCCAGGGACTGCAGCGAGCACGCCGAGCGCTGGTAGTCGCCCTCCAGGTGCGTGGCGGCCTGAAAGGGGGGTTGGGGGGGGCCGTCGTAGCCGAAGCCATTGCTGCCAGGGTACGAGGAGTAGCCTCCGAAGAGTGCTGCCGCGGCATTGTCGTAGTAGGTGGCTTTCTGCATCGCTGGGCGAGGCCCGGGCAGTGGGTGGCAACTTGCAAGAGCCTGATACCCTCACGACCGGACATTGGCACCCGCGGGGGTCACGTGAGGCGCCGGACCCCCCTCCCCTTTCTGCCCCCCTCCTCCCGAGTCCGTTGGGAGCGGCTGACCTGCGGGGTGAGAGAAGAGACACAAGGGGGAGAAGAGGACTGGGGCTCGAATCCATCTTAGGAGCTGAAAAGGGAACTGACATCAATAGGGTTTTTTTTTTTTCTTCTCCCCCACCCCAACATCTTCAAAGCAGATGCTGAGGCCACTTTCCTGACCTGAAATGGATTTTTTTTTTATTTCTTATTTTAATTTTAAGGAAAAAGCCCACCAGTTTTTATTTCCACTTCTACTCCTTTGGGGACTGCCTAGGTATAGAATCTTACTACTGCAAAGGCCATGGTTTCTCTCTCCCGCCTGCATGCTAGCCCCTGACCTCTTCCTCCTCCCTCTCCCAATCTCCCCCCCACACACACACCAACTCTGGATAGGGTGGCTGGGGTGGGGGGGGAACTAGGAGACTCCAAAATAAAAGCATCACCAACACCCTCCTCTGAGCTGAGACGCCTCCTGTCTTTGCCTCCCTCCATGTCCCTCCAGGTCTCTCATCCAAGCAGAGTCTAGCCTGAAGGAAAAAAAACAGAGGATCTCCGAAAGAGACAGGAAGGAGAAGCAAGTTGAGCAGGCAACCTTCTCCTGTGAGGAGCCCTCTCTTTCCCCTCCCACCTCACGAAGACAACAACAGCCTGACCTAGAAACTTCCTGAAGATTTTTAACATCCAGAGCCAGCAGAACCGAGCCTCCTCCATGGCCCTGGGCAGGCAGGTACCATCACCTTCAGTCTGAGTCTCTGCTCAGCTAAGTCTGGGACCCAGCAGCTAGCAGCCCCATGGGGCCCCCAAATGGAGCAGGATTGTTTCCATTTCCCTGGCCCGACTGATTGGTGCAGTGACCATTTGGCCCAAGTCTCTCCCGGCTCCATTTTTTTTCATCAGACCTAATTTTTTCCCCACCCCTTTCCTTGACAGTCTGTTTCCTCTGATTTCTCCAAAAGAAGAAAAGAAGAGAGAAACTGGATAACTGCTGGACTTTTCTACCAAGAGATGCTAAAGTGCTTCCTGAATGAGAACACCTTTTCCCAAGGCAAAAAAGAAAGTCAACAGAGCAATCAGAACAATATTATTCTCTGGGTTGGAAACAGGGTATCTTGTTTACTAAAGTTTTCCAAGTTAAAAAAAAATCATGATTTTAACGCAGACTTTTAAAACTGTGCAGAAAAAAATAAAGCTTCAAGCTGTCATAGGATTTTGTGTATTTCTTCTAAAACTTCTGATTGCATTTTTTCCCTCCCTGTCTTCCCGCATCTCTCACCATCGTATTTCATAAAACCTCCAGAGTGACCCTGTCTTCTGACATGTGAGTTTGGACTACTTAAATCTCATTCAGCCCAGCTGGTCAACTCCAAAGCAAACTAAAAATAGGAAAATAAAATAAAAGGAGGGCAGGTGAAGGAAGTCCCTTCCACACATAAATCCCCTTCTTAATGGCAGAGATTTACACTCAAAAGGGAGCCAGGGTAGCCCTGAGTTCCGATTGGTTTCTGGGAAGAATTTGTTTCTGGGAAATACACATGGGTCTGTAGAGCAGCAGGTCCTTCCAGGGAGGAGAACTGGAGTTCAATTGACCAGCCTGACCCAATCCCTTTATTATTATTACCATTAGCCTCTGATGATTTAACCAAAATTAGCTTCGGAGCAGCCCTGGATGAAGGGGGAATTAATTAACAGGCATCAGTTGAGTTTGTTATTAATAGATAGAGAAGAGAATGAAATAAAAACGTTGGAAGAGGTTGGCTGGCTGGGCCCTGGCTTTATTTAGTCTAAATGATTGTTGCAGCCGTAATGATGATGATGATGATGATGACGATGATGATGATGATGATAAAGCAATAATCTGACTAGACGCCTGGGGCCGAAATTCCTGTCGTTCCCCCTGCAATAAACCTGCAAACCATCGCAGGACAGAGGCCAGGCGAGTGTGGGAAGCGGAGAAGCCAGAGACGGAACAGGAAAGAATGGAGACACTGCCGGCGGCGAGAGAGGGCTGGGAGGTTTGTGGACGGAGCTAGCCCCTGGCTGCCGCCTCTGGGCTGTCTCGGCTGCTGCTGCCGCAGGGGCTGGTGACTAGCTAGGCTGGCCCAAGGAGGCAAAGAGAAAGCATCCAGAACGCCTAAAGGGCTCCCGGTGGCAGGTTCCAAGCACACCGGGCTGAGGGCAGCAAGTTTGGGAGCTGGAGGTAACCGAATTAAAAGGCGCCTTAGCAACTCTGCTCCGGGACTTTGGCAGGCCCTGGGTCTGCCGGAGGGACAGTGAGAAGAGGTTAAGGTGTTGAGGGGATCCGAGATCTAGGGATCCAGGAGAAGAGGGGGTGGGTGCAGCTCTACCAAGCCAAACATGTCTATTTCCCTTGCCTCCATGTTGGAAAAATCCAGGCTCCATATGGCTTCTCGGGAGAGAGGGAGGGAGGGAGACGGTGGCTCCCGGCTTCCCCCCAGGGTCTCACTAGAGAAGGGCGGTGAGCCACCCCAAGAACCCCACCTGTCCAGGCACACCCCTGAAAAGAGCCGGGTCGAGTAACAATAGCTGGGGAAGCCCGGAGACAGGGGATGGGCCACCTTCCAGGACTTTAAAAAAAAAAAAAAATAGTGGAAGGAAGAAAAATAAAAGAACAAGAAAGGAAAAGGGAGAAAGGTTAGGCTCTTCTTAGCAGCCGGGGGAAAATTCAGCCCTGGATCTGGCTGCTGAAAGAAAAGAGAGGAGAAAAGGAGAGAAACAAGAAGGGAGAGGGAGAGAGAGAGGGAGAGAGAGAGAGAGAGGGAGGGAGGGGGAGGGAGGGAGAGAGAGAGAGAGAGAGAGAGGAGAGTCGCTGCGTGGAAGGAAGCTTAAAGCTTGTGAACTCTTCTTGAACCGAGATTGGAGTCATATGGGCCATAAATCATTGAGACATACTCTCCGCCATTCACAAACTGATAGCCTATTTCAGTCCAGCTTACCTTAGCCACCGACGAGGGGAGAACAGGCAGACATAATATATATTCACATCGAGCCCCAGCGCGAGCGGCAGGCGAGAAATCTCCCCTCCTTGAAGGCAAAGGAAAAAAAGACCACTGTTTAAAGCTGCGTCGCCCCCCCCCCAATAGCCACCCCGGCTGGGGAGCCCGAGGGGCAGAGCGGCCGAAGGAGCCGCGCGGCGTCTGCTTCAATTCACTCGGCTTGGGAGCGGGGGTGCTCAGGAGGGAGGGGGTGGGGGAGCGGGGAAAAAAATAGAAGAAGACCGAAAGGTGCTCGGGCGGCTCAGCTCGCTGCGAATCCAGCTCCAAGCTCCAGCTCGGCCAAGCCGCCACAGTGTGGTTGCCCTAAAGACTGGTACGCCCTACTCTCCGTTAACAATGGCCTCTGCTTTTGCACAGGGAAAAAAACCACACAGACACACACACACACACACACACACTCACTCACACACACACACACAAGCTCACACACACCCCCACCACTCCCCCTTTAGCAAGCTTAGATGCCTGATAAGGAGGGAAGGTGTTGGTGGTGATGGGGGAGGGGGACATTTTTTAAAACCCCCCCCTCAAAAAAAAAAAGTGAGAAAGGAAAGAAAGTAGGGATTTTTGTTTTGGGTTTTTTTTTTTTTTAAAAACAGGTAAATTTTTAAATTGAGATTTTGGTGCGGGGGGGCGGGGGGGGCAGGAAGAGGAAGGCAAGGCAAAGCCAGTGGAGTTCACAGCTCCCCGGCACCCTGCTGGTAAACCATTATGCTAACTGCGAAGTAGGTGGGGAGGCCTCGTCAAAGGCACGCAAGGCGCCTGGGGGTGGGGGTGCTGGGTGCCCCTCTGTGTTCATTCGAAGTGGCAACACTAGGGCTTTTTTTTTTTTTTTTTTAAGTAGTTTCACTCCTCCGGGACTGGTGGCTGGGTCTCCCGCCCTCTCACCCTGGCTCCCCCTCTCCAAGTCTCCCAGGCTGTTTCTTCTCTTCCCCCACACCCTCCCTATTTCTTCTCTCTCCCCGCAAATCTCCAGGCTCAGTTTCCAACCGGTAGGGGAGACAGCCAGACCTTTTTTTTTTTTTAAACACCCCCCCTTTTGAGAACAGACAACAAGCGGTGAGTGATTATTTTAAAAATCCAGACCATCTTGCAGGAGGAGGGGGGTTGAGGAGAGGGTGACAAAAGGAGCAGTCTGTTTAGCTCGAGCTCCAGACACGGCTGGCAATAGAGAGGCTGTAAGAACTTCACGGAGAAGTTTCTGTTAAGATTCTCACCTCTGGATAGGGAGAAGGGGCAAAGAGGTGACAAGGACATTTGTACTTCTAAGAAGGTGAGAAGAACTACCAAAATGGCTTCATCTTAAGTGCGCTGGCAGAAGAGAAGGAGGGTAGTTATTATTATTATGCAGAACAAACCTGTTTGTTTCTCTTAGTTCTGCAAGATTTATGACTCTTGGCACAAGTGAGGAGGACTACAAAAGCTAAACTTTTCTTAGGGTGTGTTTGAGAAGGGCAGGAAAAGGCGAGGAGGCCTGTAGGAGGGAGCCAAGAGCCAAGAATGTAGGTGTCTGCAGATTTGGGGCGGGGGTGGGGAAGAGCCACTCCCGGTGGAGGAGAGACAAAAAGAGGACCAGGACATCTCCCAAAGTAGGAGTGCTTGCAACTCTGCCTAACTGCTGACTCAGGGCTTAGGGGATAAAATAGAAGGCAGGGAGTCTCTCTTTTCTACAAAGCCAGCTTGGAAAACTTGTTCTCTTAACTTCGAGTAGACAGAGCCAGCCACTACCCTGTGACCTCCTGGTTAGAATGCTTGGCTTTTGCCTTCTCCCATCTGGATGCACCAGAAGAGATGGGACTGGGAGAACAAAGGTGAGAGATGGTTCCAGCTATTGTCTTCCCTCCAGGAGAGGGTGGCTGTGTCTGGCAAAGCTTCCCTCACACCCCACTCACAAGCTCTGCTTTGGGCTAAGAAAGGGTCCTGCTCTCTTAGCGAGTATTCCCCGGGCCTCCTCCAGCCCCTACTGCTTTCAGTCCCGCTAAGTCAGTTTTCATGGGCTGGAGCAGCCAGTTTCTTGGGGCCTTGCTGAGCAGGCGGTGGGTGGGACCCATGGCCTCCCTGCTCTCCAGCAACAGGAACTACACGCCAGAACCTCCCACTGTGATGTCCCAAGGACCCTACCACCTGCCTAGAGAGCTGGTGGCTGAAGGAAGGGGAGGGTGGTGAGGACAGAGGGTGGGAGCCATCTTTCCCCTCGCGCAAGCCCAAGCCTATGTTGCTACTCAAGCCAGGACCCTCAAAGAACACCATTACAGCTGCCTGCGTACGTGGTTGCACGGAGCCTGTCCTGAGATTTCTAGACCCTGGTTAGGGACCTACTCTGTTGGTTCCTATGTAGCTTTGGGCCTGGTGGGTTGGGGACTCAGCCCAGGGAGGCTTCCGGAGGCTTAAGGGAATGAGCACCTTTGGGTCTTTTCTCTTACTCCCCAAAATTAAAAGTCAAAAATGTACCTCAGACCCTCCAGCTCTCCTAGCTGTTGCTACCACTAGCTACAGAAAGTCATTGCAAAACTGAGGCAAGAGGAGAACCTGGTCGCTATGGGGCTGCACAGCATTACCTCAAGGAATTAAGAAAGCCCAGAGGGTACCCAGCCAGCTGCGGGCCTGTGGGACTGGGCTGCAGGAGGATCTAGCCTGGAGCTGAGCTGAAGGAGGGTGGAGGAGCTTTCCAAAGACAGAGGTGAACCCCTCCCCTCCCAGAGCCTCCTCAACTCATTGTGGTCTCTTCTGGGGACACAAGGAGCTGTGGCATGGTGGGGTGGGGGTGAAAAGGAGGACTGGGGATCCAGAAAGCTAACCTGGAGAAAAATTTCAGAGGACACCCCCTCCCCCCCAGTGCAGTAGGAGAAGGAGTGGGGGCTTCTTATTAATTCTGGAGAACAGAGCCCATTTGAACTGCTTGGGAGGCAATTAGATCCCAGTTTGGTTTCTTTCTTCTTCCTTTCTTGGAGATTTCTGGCAGGCCGGCTGGCCCTGGTTGGGGCTGGGAAGGGGGTAGGTGGATGGGGGAACAGGCAGCTTGGAGGGTACCCGGTTCCTATGAGCTGTTGCTGCAGGCTGGGACCTTTCAAACTTCAGGGGACAAAGGCCGGGCTCCTACTTGGAGTAGGAGACATCACAGGGGTGTGCGGGAAGACTGGGGTCTGGAAAAAGAGGGGGAAGAGGAGTTTATCACTCCTGACAATGAA